TCTTAATTGAAAGAAGAGCAAAAAGCAGCACTGAAGGAGGAAGTTGACCGAGGTTATCACTGACGGTTGCTCAGCAGAGGGTTTGCTCAGTGTTTGTAGCTCTGTGGGTGAAACCGGTGCTGCAGACAGAGTCGTACATGGCTAACTGAAAGCTGTCTAAACGGATCGCCCTCAGCTCTGGACTCCACAGAAACCAGCGGTGGAGAGCTGTCACCACTGATGTCTCCATGACTCAGCTGTTTGATAGACGCCCTGTCTCACCCCCTTTGAAAAAAAAGTCCCAGAACAGGATTTTATAGTGCAGAGACACTCTGACCTTGACAAGTCAACGGTGTACAGCTGAGGATGGAGGTGGAGGCGGGAGAAAAGCTGCTGTTGGTTTGATCTTTGGAAGTGGATATTTGCCCCCTGATTCACCCCAACACACACACACACACTCTGGCTGACAGTGTCCACAGACTGAAGCTGGGAAATGAGCACTAATTATCACCCAAATAGATTTAATTTTTTGGGTACAAATTAATTTTAATAGGTGACCCATCCATCATCTGGAGTCCTGCTCCATTAAACCCATTCGCCTGCTAAAATATTAAACCACAGATGGCTGACAAACTGAAGGAAACCCTATAAAAAGTGTTATTAAGGTGTTGGAGCTCTATTGGATGATCAACAGTCTTCCTAAACACATTCCCTGTTTTAATAATGGTGGTAGAGACTGCTGTCTAACTGCTGAGGTTGCACAAATACGATTAGGTAGAGAAACCCGATCAATGAACCAGATAACAAAACTCTTACTGAAGAGAAAATCCTCCAGCTGTGATAGAACTGATGCTACGCTAACCTCCTTACCAAAAAGATTAAATATTCTCAGCCTTACCATCCTGTTCTTTAACTTTAGCTTTAACTGGTATGTTTCTAAAACAATTAAAATCTTTTCATACACAGAAGATTACGTGGTTTTGTGGTTATTAATGGGAATAAATGTTTTTAGCATTAAACAGTGAAACTCTGACTTAACACTCGTTCTACTGTTGCATGAATAGACTGACTGTGTGACTCTAACATGGATGACCACTGCGGTAATGGCACTATTAACCCAGGAAGTGTTAGTGCCTCGTCGAACCACTCGCCTCCACAGCACCACTTAACCTTATTACAGGTCTCTCTGCAGCCCTCTGCTCCAATAAAAACATGAACTTAACATGCCTGAGATCAGCAGATTGAAGGCTCCTCCGATCACGCCTTCACACCCCCTCCTCTCTGTACGTCAGCCGCAGAGGTCGCGACGGCCGACCCTCCGCAGAGCGCTAAACGCTCACCCGCCTCGACTGCCGGCGCCTTCATCTGCTGCTCAGTGGGGCTCATAGGTGGACGTATGGGAAGTGAGCGTTTCCTCTCTCTCAGCAGACGGTGGATGACAATACAGTTCATCTTTCAGAGGTGGTGGCTTCAGTTGAAAAATACTCAAAATCTGACCTTTTTTTGTAAGACAGCGCAGTCCGATGAACTCTAGTTCCTCTTCATCAGCACCAGCATTTGCTGCTTTAGAAACAGAACTGTACGGTGTGTGTTGTTTTACATCAGAGCCAGAATATACTCAGTTACTCCTTCACTGAGCCA